CTCCTCCTCCTCCCCCTCCCCCTCCTCCTCCTCCCCTCGTCTGCGTCCTCGCCACCGCCCAGCAGCGCACGGCCGTCTGGCCCCAGCGCGCCCTCGCGGCAGTCGTCGCCCGGGTGCGGCGGGGGCTCGTCGGGGTCGGGGGTCGGGACGGGCGTGGCATCCTCGCGGCGGCGCGGGGGGGTGATGAGTGGACAGTATGAAGTCGGGCCTGCCCCTCTACAGGGGGAATATTCAAAGATAGTCCAAAAATAGTCTGGGGACGATGTTTTGTAAAATGATTGACAATTTGGGTATATCGCTAGGGTATTCTTAACTTTCGTCCAAAATCCCCCTGTAGGGGGACATGCCCGACCTAAGAATAGGAAGACTAGGAGAACGAACAAGGACAGAAAACATATCAATTCGGAGGTCCGCGCGGATTTCTCGGATCGGCGCTGGGGCCCCCTGGCGGCGCCTCCGGCGCAGCGCCGCCCCTGGCGCGCTCCGCGCGCCAGGGAGGGCGGTTCAACGCGGATCCGAGAACTCCGCGCGGACCTCCAAGTTTTTTATGTAAATGCCATTTTTCGTGGGACGCTGTGGAACGGATGTATCCTCGTCCTAGCCCCATCCGAGATTGGGGGGTTCAAGGTTGGTTATGTCTGGCAAGTCCTGTCTTGTTACTGGGTTGCGGGAGTCCTGAGGAGGGCTCAGAGGGGGCATAGCTCCAGGCTAAAGAGGGCCCCACCCACTTCGCAGAGTCGTCCACCCCTGAAACCACGTAGGGCATTTACAACCCACTAGTGAGCTAGGTCACAAATATAACGAATAGCAAGGATGCACGACAAGGGCGCAAAGGCCTTGGAAGGCCATGCCGACACTTTTCGAGCAGGGGGCGGCCAACGAAAATGGCCATGGATGGGCCGAAGGGAAAGGATGCCAGGGAAGCGTTGGAAAATCGCTCATCAATGCTATCAGTGCTGACTGTACGCAGCCCAGGTATAGTCCTGCCATCGCTCGGACGTCCATTACCTGTGCAGAGTTCGTTTTTTTTGTGCGTTTTGTTTGCAAGATGACTCAAAGATGCTCCTCGAGGGTCCCCGACGTGAGGAAAAACACGCACACGTCCGAGCGATGCCAAGTCACCTTAGTATCCGCGCCTATAGAGCCTCCCGGCCCACCTCGCATCCCCCCGTGGTGATCCGAGCCTCGGCGGCGCAGAGGGGTTTGGGCTTAGGTCGGGCATGTCCGCCTACAGACGAGTTTTGGAGGAGCATTTAAAAAGAGTGCTAACATATGGAAGCATAGCAGCAACAAAAATAAAAACGGATCCCCCAGACTGTGCTTTTTACTATGTTTGCAGACCTGCTTTCAAAGGGACATGCCCGACTTACGGGAGACTGCCCAGAGCTCCGACGGCAGGAGTTGCTCGCAAGCGGGCGGCAACGGGGGGGCCTACATCTACCTGTGAAGCGAGCCGGGGGGGGGGGGGCCCAACTGCCGAAACTGCGGGGTAACCGGGGGGGGCGGGGGAGGAACCTGGCCGGGGGGTGCGGAAAGGAGCCCTGCAGGAGCCCTCTGGGGCCCCCTCTCTGGGGGCCCGTGCCAGGCGCCAGCAGGAGCCCCAAGGGGGCCCCCACGGGCACCGTTGGGCCCCTTCTCTTGGCCCAGGCGGGCGGTGATGGGGGGGGTGCCCTATCCTGACCTTCCAGAGTGCTAAAAAATAGCCCTCCAGACCTATAGACCTATCTGGGCTGCCTAAAACCTCGACAGGAATTAAGATATCGAGGTCCTGGTGTTATTTTTTAGCCCTCCTGGAAGGTCAAGGTAACTGCGAGGTGAAAACAAAACGGGTTCCTAAAGAGGCCCTTTGCGGCGCCCTGCGGTGGCTCTTTGAGGGCCCCCTGTCCGGGGCCCTTTTTAAAGAGCCAGCAGGAGCCCCCAAAGGGGGCCCTAACGGGCCCCTCTTTGGGGCCATTGCCTTCGCCCCCAAAGTTATCGGCGGCGAGCCAAAGGGGGGACGTGAGAGGGAGAAGGTCTTCTCAGAAGGCTCGAGAGTCCCCCAGCCTTCTGGGAATTTTCCCAAGCCTTCCCAGAAAAGGCAGATCACCTCTCAGAAGGCGCGAGGGCTCATGAGAAGCCCGGCCGCCTTCCGAGGAGGCCTCCTCCTTCTCGCTTCCCCCGCCCACTCGCTCGCCGCCGAATCGAGGCCGCCCCCGCCCGAATCGATTCTCGATCGCGGCGCTCTCCTCCCTCTCGTCCTCCAGGGCCCGTTCACGGGCCCTGTGGGGCCACCACAGCACTGGTCTCGGGGGCGCGCAAAAATGGATTAGCGATCCATGGATTTGGCGCGCGGTCGCCAAATCCATGGTTCGGGGGATGTGCCCTCCCCAAAATGCGGCCGGTGCCGCCTCGTTCGGCGGCGGAAATCCGCGATTTCCAATGGAAACGGGACCCGTCGCTAATCCACGAGCGCGCGCCGCTGATGTCCCCAAGGGGAGGGGGGGTTTGGGACCCCCCCCCTTTCCCCGATCCGTCGTCGGGGAACCCCCCCCCTCCCCTCCTTTCCCGATCCGTCGTCGGGGACCCCCCCCCCTCCCCCCCTTTCCCGGTCCGTCGTCGGGGAATCCCCCCCTTTCAAAAGGGGGGGGGGTCCGACCACCCCCCCCCCCCTCCCCTCCTTTGGCCGCCAAACTCGCCCCCCCCCCCCCCCTTTCGCCACGGCGCCCCCGGTCTCCGGAACCCGACCCCTACCACCCCCAACACCAATCCTCGCCCCTACCCTAACCCATAACCCGAAACCCAAACCCTAGCCCCAAACAGCACTCACGATTCATTGCGCACAATTTACCCACTACGCACAACTCACTATTCGCTACTCACTACTCACGTTTCACTACTCACTACCCAAGACTCACGACCCACTACCCAGTACTCCCTAGCCCCTACTCACTATATTCACTACAAACGACTCACTACGCACTACCCACTACTCAATACCCACTCGACACAACTACCCACTAATCACTTATCACAATTCACTACTCACTACCCAATACCCACTACTCACACTTCACTATTCAGTACTCACTGCCCACAACTCCCTACTCACTATCCACGACTCGCTACTCGCTACTCCCTACTCCATACAAAGTACTCACCACTCACTACTCGCTACTCCCTACGCCCTATTCGCTGCCCAATACGCACTATTCACTACCCACTACTCACTTCTCACTACGTTCCCACTTCTCACTGCTCACTACTACCTACTCCCTACTCACTATTCCAAGCTCACTACTCACCACTCACTACCCAGTACTCAATACCCACTACTCACTAGACACTACTCGCTGCCCACTACTCACTACTCACTAAGCATTACTCACTACCCACTAACCACTATCCAGTACTTACTACTGAGGATTCACAATTCACTACTCACTACGCACTGCCCACAACTCACCGCTCAGTAGCCGCTACTCGCTACCCAATACGAAATAATCACTACCCACTACGCATAACTCGCCTGCCACTATTCACTCCTCCCTCCTCCCTACTCACTTGTCACTTGTCCCAAGTCGCTACTCACTACTCACTACTCACTACTAGATACCCACGACTCACTACCTCGCTTCTCCCTAATTTATAATACTCGCTAGTCCCTACTCACTACCCATTACTCAATACCCCCATCTCGCTTCTCACTACTCAGTACTCACTACTCCCTACTCACTACTCACTCCTGGCTACTCCCTCCTCACTACTCACTACTCACAGCGCCCTACTCGCTACTCACTACTCACTACTCGCTACCCCCTACTCGCTACTCCCTACTCGCTACTCGCTACTCACCACTCACTGCTCTCTAATCACTGCGCACTACTCACTACTCACTACCCACTCCTCGCTATGACCTCGCTCACTACTTCCTTCCCGCTACTCGCTACCCACTACTCACTACTCACTAATTTCTACGCGTTACTCACTACTACCACCACCCATTACCCACTACCCACTACTCACTACTCATGACTCACTGCGCACTACTCACTATCAAATACCCACTACTCATCAATCGCTACTCAAAACATTCTACTTTCTACTCATTACCCGAGGGGCCCCCCTTCCCAGCCCCTGTTCGGCGCAAAGGGGGGGAGGGGGGGGTCGAACCCCCCTCTCCTTTCCAACGCCAAGGGGGCGAGGGGGGGGGGGGTCCGGACGCCCCCCCCCTTCAACCCCCCCTTCAAAGGGGGGGAGGGGGGGGATCGGAACCCCCATCCCGTAAGGGGGGGAGAGAAGGGGGGGCAAAAATCTCACCCCCCCTTTGAAGGGGGGGAGGGGTGGGGGGGGAGGGGTGAGAGCACAACCCCCCTTTGTGTATTCAGGTACATCCACTGGCGCGCTTTCCTAATCCACGCCCCCTTGATCCATGTTTGCGATCGCCTGATGATCTGGGGGAGAAAAAACCGTCGCTGGGGGAAGGCATCGGGGCATCGGGGGCTGCGCATGAGGGAAACAATCCTACCAGCGGAAGGAGGAGGCCGCGACACAAACCTTCTCGAGCCGTCAGCACGTGACGGCGCCCTCCCCACGAGCCGTCGGCAGAAGCCAGCGTGTTTCTCGCTGCCTGCGCTGCTCAGGCTGCGGGGGGCCGTCAGGGAACGGCTCGGGGTGGAAAGCCAGTCCTGGGGAATGGGTCGAGACCTCCAGGGGTGCACGCTGTGAAAATATCATGGCCTCGGGGGTCTGGGGAGGGAGGAGGATGAGCGAGGAGAAACAGGCGCCGATGCCACTGCTTGTTCTGGATGGTCCTGGCGAGCCCTCGGCGCCACGGCTGGTTCTCTCCAAGATTCCGGTGAGAATGCGCCCTGGGAGAGGGCCATGGCACAAGGGCGCCCAATGACGGCCAAGGGGAACCACGAGGGGCGCGCGTCTTCACCATGGTGTGAGCACCAACCTTCCCATGTTCGTGGCTAGTTTGCTGAAAGTGCTAGTTCAGACGGCCCGAGAAAGCCCTAGAAGGCCACGAAGGCCGGACAAACAACCCGACCCAAGACGGTCCCATAGGGCCAATCCCAGTGTTCCACCAATGGTGCCCCTAAGCAGCGGGAGAAAACGCAATCCACTGGGATTGCCGCGCTATCGCTCGACAGACGACCACACAAGCGCTCCCTCAGGGTGA